CTGAAAAGAAAGAGGCTTAGGAGGACTCTATCACTCTCTACTGCCTGAAAAGAGGGTGTGCGCAGGTGGGGATCAGCCTCTTCTCCCAGGTAACAAGACATAGGACAGGAGAAAAGAGTCTCAAGTTCTCATGAGGAGTTTGGATAGTAGGAAAAAATTCTTCACAGAAGAAGTGGCCAAGCATTGGAACAGGCTGTCCAGGGGAGTAGTTGGGTTACCAGCCCTAGAGGGATTTAAAATTCATGTTGACATGATGCTTAGGGACATGGTTTAGTGGTGGACTCGAAGTGCCAGGTATATGATTGGACTTGATGATCTTAAAGGTCTTTTCCAATCTAAACAAATAGTGATTCTCTGATTCCCAATGTGTGCATACCTCTAGGCACCAGTTAATAGGAAAACCAGAAATATTCCATATAGTAGTTAGCTTTTCTGGCAGCTCTGGTCACACTTGTAGAGTTAATTCCTAGCTCTTTACTCAGCAGCTACAGTAGTCTGTTAAACAAGGGGGCTACTGTAGCTGTAGGATTTGGGGAAGAGGGTGAGAGAGGGAGAGGGAAAAAGAAAAAAAATTAGATCTGAGACATACAAGTTTACCACAACAGGTTGTCAAAAATGCTCAGCAACAGCTGCACTGCACAGACTGGACAGGTTGATCCCATAAAAGTATTTTTAATATCTAAAAACACATAAAGTGCTCAGGGAAAAAAATTTATTCTGGGTTCCAACCAAACCCTGGCACCAGAACTGTAAATGGCACCTGTAATTGGCAGGTGAAGTGTGGCTAAACAACTCTTTCCCTTTCTTCTGTCTTCCAAGAGGACAAATTGCAGCCTTACTTGACCTTTCCACAGACACACACTATACAACACTGAAGTATTGTGATCTCCTAGAATGCACACGTGGAGACATTTCACACTGTGCCTCTGAAAGAATAGACACAGGAAGCAGAAAATAGGGAGAAGGGCTGAGGCACTATTAAGGTACTTTTATGATCTTGAGCTTTCCAGAATTGGGACTAGACATTGTACAAATCCAAACAGGGATGAGGACACCTGTTTTACAGGTGTATTTTTCTTGATATCAAATAAGAAAATATAGGTTAACCTATACCAACAGAATGAGAAAACCAATATTTTGATATTATCAATATGCAAATCTGCATTTGATCTATATTCTAACTACTTCCAGTATGAAATCTGAACTGAAAATATACATGCCTGAAGTAATCTTCCTCCTGCACATAATCTTCTTATCAATTAATTGAAAGCTTAATAGGTATCTTTATTTTCAGATAACATAAGGGGGATGGAAAGAGGAAACAGCAAGGAAGCTCATGTTCTTGTCACAGAAGTGTTCAGGGATAGAAAACCACAGTCAAGTCTTCTAATTTTTCAAGAAGCACTTCAAAAGAATAATTGTCCTCATTATTGGACAATAATTGAATGTTTGACCTCATTATTACAACATCATACAAAWCCTTAACTGTAACAACTTCTTTCAAAGTGGATAAATTAGTCTAAGCCCATCTGGCAATATTCCTTAATAGTGATAAATTCTGCATTACTAGTCTATGCTGATTGCATAGAGGGAAGATGGCTGTGTGCCTCAAAGATACCTTAGAAGATATCCTTAAGGAAAGAACTCAGTTGAGCACCACAGAGAATATCAAGTGATACCAGTAACTGCAAGTGGTATTTTTCACCTTTCCATATGTTTGCTGCACTGTAYTAGCACTTACAAGTCCRCCACTAAACCATGTTACCTAAACATAATGTTTTTGTGCTTTTAAATACTTCCAGGGATGATTACTTAATCCCTTCCCAGGACAGCCTGTTCCAAGGCTTGACAACCTAAACCTTGCCTGAGGCAACCTAAGGGCTGGCTCCTTTGGTCCTACCTCTTGCTACCTGGGAGAAGAGACCAATCCCCCACCTCACCACAGCCTCCTTTCAGGGAGTTGACTCGAGCAGTAAGGTCTCCCCTGAACTTTCTTTTCCCCAGGCTAACCAACACAGCACAGCCTGCACTTGCTCAGGAGCGAACTGCACTGTGGATCACTCACCCCTCACACACAGGGCGCTCCCCAGGTTACAGGGTCTGGGGTAGGAGTCAGAGAGAGGAAGATGTCTTATTGATTTGAGGTGCAGACCTTTCTGCAAATAACTCTAAAATCGAAAGATGAGTTCACAAAAGGCATACTCTTATGTTTACCAGTTCAATTCAGTCAAGCAAGGCAAATAATGTACATTATATAAAAAACATTTCTATTTTTTATTAGGTACAGTTACTGGAGATTAATGAATACATAAACACTACTTTTTAAAATTAAACTCCTTTTTTGTCAGTTTTGAAAAATATTACAGTATACTTCCCAACTCCTCAGAATCTATGTTTTTTACGTATTTTGATCTCCAGCTGATCATTTCCTTACTTCCCTTTGGTATTTTTCTTGTAAATTGAAGTACTCCTTTTTTTTCCCCATCTTTGTATCTTGTCTATGTATTGTTCTGTTTTTCTATTTGCTTTCATGTCTCTCATGTCTCTTTCTTGTCTCTCTTGTCAAAATAGATACACGGAACATTGTGTAACAACCATTTAAGAGAGCAAAATATAAGCTCTTTGAGAAACATTTAAAGAAGCAAACTTTCAGCACTTCTTGGCGCAACAAAAAACTATTCATCCTAAAATCAGATTTCTCAAATATTCCATGTTTCAAAATGTTCCATTGAAATAATTTTCCTCAAAAACCTTCCCAAGCAGGTGTTTGAGAACGATGTGGTGCATGCACAAAGAACCCAATTATGATAGCAAACTTGGTGAGGGATAACAGAAGATGGGGTTAGGATGTTTTGCATCTCTGTGATGCCTCAACAGAATCTGCAGCTCAGACTGGAATTAAAATGGCCTAATGCTGAGTATGGAACTTCCTGGGTAAACTTTCTGGAATACTGAAAGCTGAGCCATCAGGAAAGCTTTGAAACAAAATCATAAAGTTGCACTTGTCTGAGCCACCTGCTTTGGAATAATCTCCTGGAGTAGGCTTCTACTCTCCAAAACTCAAAACCACTCAGGAAAATGTTACTGACCTTCTTCTTTAAAGTAAACCAGCAGAAAAATGATTCACCTGAAAAAGGAAAATGCTTGTCCCTGACTTACTTTTATAAGCTGCCTTAACAGTAACTTCATTTACTGGTAAAAAATCAAAACAACAAACCTCATCTTGCCTTCTCTTTGAGCTTACCTAACATCAGCTAGAGACTGTGAAGTGTTTCCTGACATGCTCAACTTTCCTTTTATACCAAGCTCCTGTTCCTGGTCTTTTACCTTCTCCCTGAGAAGTTAACCAGACTGTGTCTCTTGTCACTAGGCCCTTTTTACCATCTCTCTGTTGTTCTTGTTGCTTTTTTCTGCAATCTTGCATTGGGTTTAAGTGGCAAGGTCTTGTAGAGGCGGGCAGGGCAGAACAGCAATGGTGGCTTCTGTGAGAARACAGCAGAAGAGAGAGACACCTGCTCCTCCCCTCCAGGGTCACAGCTCTGCTCAACACCTGCAGTACATGTGGATGGCTCTTGCTTTTCTCCTGTATCTGCCCTGCACGTGAACAAAGCTGTAGCAGCCAGACTGATGAGATGAGGCTGGTGCAGGATTTTCCAAAGCCATGGAGATTGGCATGTGGGGTTGAGAACACGAGCATCCTTCCCTGTCTATAGTTTCAAACTGTATGTCCTTGGCTACAAACCCCACCAAACCCTGCCAAACCTGTCCTTGGTCAGTGTGGGCCCAGTACAGCAGTGGGAGCCACAGACAGCAAGGATATGGAGTGTGCCAGAAGGTGTTGCTGCGGCTGTCAAGGCCAGCATGGACTGCACTGCACCTACATTTCACTGTGCTTTGTGTAGGAAGATTGACACTGCTTGGTTTATTTGGCTTGCGCTCTGTTGCTTACCCACCACAGCTGTAACAGGATTGGCTCTTCAGCACCCAAACACAGGCATGCTGCTCTCTGTTGGATGGATTTTGGGAAGGACCTGGTGGGAAACTGATGCAGAGAGCAAGGTGTCAGTGAACTTCCCAAAGAGACTGTGATGCCACATGGAATGTGTTCCTGTGAGCTTTTAGCTGGCAGTGCTGGAAGACAGACGCTGCTGCCTGCCACAGGGCCTGCACACCCCCATCCTGCCAGTAGAGGATTCAGCGGGGGCAATCAAGAACATCCAGTCCCAGCTTCTGCCTCCCTTCCTGCTCGGAACTTTCATGGGTGATGAGGCACAGGCTATCTAAAGAAGCTGCCCTATCCCTGGAAGTGTTCAAGCCCATGTGAGATGGGGATTGGAATATCCTGCACTGGTGGAAGGTATTCCTGCCTGTGGTAAGGGAGCTGGCACTAGATAATCTTTAAAGTTCCTTCCAACTTAAACTAGTCTATGATTCTATGACTCTGCATTGCCCCTCCCCTGTCCACCCCTTGAGGCCATTATGCCCAAAACACCAAACCAGCTGTTCTGTGACATCAGCCCTGGGGCCAGTGATACTGCAGGCCCTATGTTAGAGGCTGCACTGAATGAGCCCTCACTCCTTGCAGCTGACACGTGGCACTGGCACTGATGAATTTGCTGTGCCTCCTCATCCTGCTGGCCATGTGCACGCCCGTTCTCAGTGCATGGGACACCTGTGGGTAAGTGGCCTCAGGCTCTTGGAGGGGGTTTGGACAATATTGAGGTGATATTCCCTGTCCCCTGTGGCCACACCACAGTTTCATGAGCCCCATGCGGAAGCTTCAGTTCCTGGACTGTAGCCGGGCTGCAGCACAAATTGTCTGCAGGGCTCAAGCAGAAACAGATACATGCCCCATGGGATTCCCTGGCCCTGCTATCCATGCAAACAATGTCACATGGGGAGGGAATTTGGTTGACTGACCTTCAATCTGAGCAGCAGCAAGCCACCAAACTGGACAGCAATGACTTTCTGTTTACAGAGGGATCTGTGGTCTCTGGCCCATGTCTGCTTCCTACGGCCCTGTGGCTTATGACTATGACCCCAAGGCTCCTGACTATGGTGAATTGCACGTCGTGGGTGACACAGGCATCCAGCAAAGAGCCTGGCCCGGGATTGTCAGCATTCAGGATCCCAGGCAACCAGGCACAGGGCATGTCTGTGGAGGGTCCCTCATCAGCACAGAGTGGGTCCTCACAGCCGCCCACTGCTTCAACGATACCAAGTAAGGAGGAGCAGAGAATGGGTATATCACCACAACATCACAGGGTACCCTGTTGGCAGCACCATGTGCTACTCCTATTCTGTTTCCCTGCAGTACACCTAATGCCTGGGCACTGCAGACCCCAGCTGAGAGACTGCTCAGGAGAACACTGCACTCTTGCCACTGCTTCCTAGTAGCCTCCAGGTCGACATTTTCTGAGCCTAAGGCATGCTAGGGTAGTCACAGCCAAGCTTTCCTCTCCAACTTACAAAGCCATCTTCAGGGAACTACTGGGTTGCTGCAGCACATGGCTCTGACCCCTCTCACCTCTTTCTCTATGTGCCTCTCAGGAACATCAACACGTGGCGCGTTGTTACTGGGGCCACTCGGTTGACTCAGCCGGGCCCCGAGGTGCAAATGCGCCAGATTAAGCAGCTACGGGTTCATGAACACTATACTCCTGGTGAGGAGAAGAATGACATTGCCTTGCTGAAATTGGACCAGCCGGTCCTGTGCAGCCATTCTGTACAGCTGGGCTGTCTGCCTGATAGCACACTGAATGTGCCAGAGCTGAAAACCTGTTACATTGCTGGCTGGAGTTCCACCACTATGAGAGGTGAGTTTCCAAAAAGGACACATGTCCTGAGGGCAAGCTTGGAACACCAGGGAGATGGGTTGGGCATCCCCACAGCAGAGTCAGGCTGCAGGATGTGTGCCTCTGGAAGAATAGTCCTAGACCACTCCCAAAAGCCAGACAGAAGGGGGAAAGCATGGCAACCTGGTATTCCCCTAGGAAACCCTTGGGAAGGGCTTCCCCCCGCCCTGAAATGGGAGGGGAATGGACAAGGAGCTTTGGTATTCTTATTCATTTCCATGCTCACAGCCAAAAGACCAAGCGATGTCCTGCAGGAGGCCAAGGTCCACCTCATCGATGCCCAGCTCTGTAACAGCAGCCTCTGGTACACAGGGGCCATCCACACCCACAACCTGTGTGCTGGTTACCCAGAGGGTGGCATCAACCCCTGCCAGGTAAGAGTGTGGGACAAGCTCCCAGAACTTGCGGGCAGCCCAAGCAACCCCAACACAGCCCGGTGCCTGTTTTCCCTGGCCAGTCACCTTCCCACCACGGTTAGGACTTTTCTCCCCTTCCCCATTTGCAGGCCCTTGCCCAGTGCCCCCATTGTCCCAGAGGCCTGGCACTACACCCAGAAAACACATCTAGTGCTCTTGGCAGTCCAGATGCAAACCCTGGAACATCCATCCTCTGCACATCCAGGATCATTGTACAGAGATGAGAGACAGCCTTAATTTACAAGCCCCTGATCTGCTCCCAGCYGAAGTTCTGGAAGCTCCAGCACCTGAGCAGAAACTTTCTCTGCCAGGAATATTCCTCTGTCACAGGCTGTGAGAGAGGAGACAGCTCTAGTGCTGAAAGCAGCACCCAGCATTTCTTTACTCCTCTCTTGCTCCACTGCAGGGTGATGGTGGTGGTCCTCTGGTGTGCAAAGCTAATGAGGCTGCCTACTTCTGGCTTGTTGGTGTGAGCAGCTGGGGAAAGGGCTGTGAGAGGGCAAACCAGCCTGGAGTCTTCACCTCCATTCAGCACTTCTATGACTGGATCCTGGCTCAGACACATCTGCCTCCAGACAGAAGGGAATCGAGACATTTTACAACCACCCCAGTTACAACCACCCCAATTACAACCACCCCAACTCCTCCTCAGAAGCCAAGGCCAATACCAACATCAATAACAACACCAATACCGACACCAGTGGGCAGGTTTAGCTCCTGCCCATATTCAATCCAGAGGCTGGTGGAATTTTTTACTCAGCTGCAGAGGTTCCTTCAGGCCCTAAAGAGAAAACTGGCTAGAGAAGCAGGATGAAGAGGATCCAGTGCAGGCTGCAGTGGACCATGACCATTTTCTTCTGAGGCAATGCCTGCTGAACCAAAGGCAGCCTCAGAGCCTAAGGCCTACTCTATCCTGCTCATGCTTCTCCTCTGTGTGCACACAAATCCTCAAGTTGACTTAATTGTAGAAATAAAGTTGCCTGATTTCAAAGTTAACRGTGTTTTCAGTCCCATTCAGTCTCCTGTGCAAGGCAAGGACTTCCACACCTAGTACTTSGAAAATGAGGCTAAGGGCAAACATCAGGCACAATAGAAAAGAATCAGTCCAAAGGACTAAAACTGTGCTTGGTCAGAGTGGAGAGCAAGGGTGCAGTAGAAGGGAACACAGGTCACAGAGCAGCCAAGGGCATACAGATCTTGGAAACAGCAGYTGGAAATACTAAGTGTCTTAGGCTGCCTGCTGCTGGAAATCAGTCTTGTGTTTGTGTGTGTGCAATGCTCTGGGAAAAAACTGGACTCTTTCATAACCCAGGAGACTTGGTTCTTAGAAAGACCCAAGTTTTGCATGAAGGACTGGGTAAGGAACTTGACATCCAGCCACAGACAGTACATGGATAATTTCAATTAATTTCTATACTGTTATTTGAGGAATTTCTGAATGTGCTGTACTTATGAAGATAGGGAGTGAAGGTGTGTTCATGTTTCACTAGAAGACATCCAATCCAGATCATCTGGAAAGGCAGAAAAGGACTAGATTGTGTCCATGGTCATGACAGTGGTGATTACAGACACTTGGCTGCTAGTAAAGGCATTGCTCTGTCTATGTCAGGCTGGTTTGCTGTTCATGGTAACTGTGCAAGTCTGTCTGTGATGGTGTATCTGGCTCTCTGGAATGCACACATGCACAGACACACAGTTGTGTCCTTCAGGAAGCAGAGCTATACCTAAAAGTTCAGGTCTATCAACTACCACAGACACTACTCACCTCTGATGCTACTTCCAAACACAAACTGTCATACTGGCCAGGTAAAGTTTATCTATCTCAAGAAGCCTCATTGCATATAAGCCAAGTTGAGAATTCCTTGGTTTTGTTACAAAATGCAGAATGACTGACAAATTTCCATTATTTTGGTAATGATATAATGACTACTGGTTCGTAAGTAAAGTACTAACTCTGAGTAATAGAAGAACTGAAGGGCTGAATTGCGCTGAATTTTCATTACTATTTGTTATCTATGCAATAAGAAAGAAAATTCCTTTAGGAGAATTATGACTAAGATATTTTCAAGCGCTTGCATTTTGTAGCAGCTCTCAGATTCCTTCTGGTCTCATAATACATGCAGTGTGAATTCTGAAAAAAGCAGGCCAATATTGTCACTCCAACATTTTTATTGCATACAAGGATGGAAAATTTCAAGCAGAAAAAGAAAACTAATCTATTCAGTGAAGCCATAAGCCACCATTTTCCAGCACTATCACTGAGATACCTCTATAATGTCACCGAGATGCCTCTATAATGGAAAATCCATAGTAGTAAGAATGATACCAGCCTGCACTTTCCTTAAGGAACTGCATGTGCTATAAACACTCCTGCACATCTTTGTGAGGATATCTCATTACTGCAAGAGATAATGGCCAACACTTCATACCCTTTTTTTTTTAGAAATTATACTGAACAGTAAGTTACAGACTACAGCTACTAAGAAATTATTCACTTGCCAAAGATGATTGTTCCTTGCAGCTTGATGATTATCCTACAGCATATTTCTTTATATTATATATTTATATTATATAATGGCATTTCTGTTGGACTTGAGGAACAATATGAAATTACATGCTTTACTGTTGTAATTTGAGCCCCTGGGCAATGTGTTAGTAATGACATTTTCTTTATGCACTGTTCTTTTATAACTTTTTTCCAAAACAATCCTTTCCCTGATTTTTTTAGGGAATCTTACTTATAAACACCATCTSTACTAAATGCTGCTGATATAAACAACCAGACCTGAAATCACAAGAAAGGTTAAAGAGGAAGCATGGCCTGAGTGCAGTAAGATTTATTATTTTTTCTCTCACACTACATTTGTCTGCACTCTGGACAAGTCTCTGAACTGCCTTTCTAGGGTATTGTTACAYGTTTTAGCAGCAAGACAAAACACAGCACCAGCTGCTGGGAAGAAAATCTTAGCCGAAACAAGAACAAATGCAATACATGAATTAGCTGTTCTTGCAACAGTGAACAGTGACATTCAGAACTGAAATTTTAAATAGGATGAATTTCAGGTGCAAAACTACCACATTTTAAAGAAAAAGACCTGCAAAGAAACAAAACCTGTTATATCCTTCAGTAGCCCACACTGGCAATAAACATGCTCAAAATCCAATTTGAACCAGACTATTTCATGTCATTATATATTTGCAATATTAGATTTCKATACACTTCTTCTGGATAACCAGTATCAAAAGAGGACTCTAGGTTTACAGTGTTTTTTGTACAGGCACATAGCAAATGCAGGGCTGAGGAATAATGTGCTCTGTTGACATGTGAACAGTGACACAGAGCCAGAAAAATAAATAGTTAAGAATTAAGACATAGAGTAAGGGGGTAAGAAATTCATAGTAAAACCAAAAATTAGATGCTTCTAAAAGAAAAGAGATGACAASCTCTGAGATGACAAGCTCTCGTTTAGCACAGAACAAGACAATGATGTGAAAAACTTCCCTGAATCAAATGTTACTTGTACTGAAATAGTGTCTTTAGTATTTGTGTACTGACACCCATTTTCCTTTCTGAAATGTCMTGCTGTTCTCATTAGCGTTTTTTTAGAATTCTAAAACTACGGTGACCTTCCTCCCTTAGCGATGGATCCTAACCAGTGGCAGGATCTTATGGATATTCTACTGTTCAGTCACTAATTTGAATGTCTTTGCACAGCAGTAGCAAGTATGGTTTCTGATRAGTATCTTTTCTGCTCCATCTTCACAGAATCAACTAGGYTGGAAAAGACCTTTGTGATCAGAGTCCAACCTGTGACCAAACACCATCTTGTCAACCAGAGTATGGCACTGAATGCCACATCCAATTTTTCATTAAACACCTCCAGGGACAGCAACTCCCCCACATCCCTGGGCAGCCAATTCCAATGCCCAATCACCCTTTGTATGAAGAAATGCTTCCTAATGCCCAATCTAAACCTTCCCTGGCACAGCTTAAGACTGTGTTCTCTTGTCCTGCTGCTGATTGCCTGTGACAAAAGMCTGACCCTCACCTGGCTACAGCCTCCTTTCAGGGAGTTTTCRAGAGTGATGATGTCTGCCCCAAGCCCCCTCTTCTCCAGGCTAAATAACCCCAGCTCCCTCCTTCTCTGGACATTCTCCAGCAGCTCAACATCCTTCCTGAACTGAGGGGCGCAGAACTGGACACAGCACTCAAGGTGCTGAGTACAGGGGACAATCCCTGCCCTGGTCCTGCTGGCCACACTGTTGCTGRTMCAGGCCAGGATGCCATTGGCCTTCTGGGCCAYCTGCGCACACCCTCAGCTCTTATTCAGCTGCTGTCACCAGCACCCCCAGCACCCTCAGATCCCTTTCTCCCTGGCCAATGTCCAGCCACTTTCCCAAGTCTGGAGAGCTGCCTGGGGGTGTTGTGGGAAAAGTGCAGGACCCAGCACAYGGTCTTATTAAACCCCATACCACTGGATTCAGCCCATCGATCCAGCCATCCAGATCCCTCGGCAAAGCCCTCCTATCCTCTAGCAGATTGACATTCCCTTCCAACTTGGTGTCATCTGCAAATTTGCCAGTGGTGCACCTTAACAACTCGGCACCTTTGATATTGCAGCCTTCCATATTACAGAGGAGATGTGATRTAATATTATCAAGGGGAAATGTCTTTAAACTAATACAGGGGAGGTCTAGATTAGGTGTTAGGAAGAAATTCTTTGCTATGAGGGTAGTGAGGCATTGGAACAGGTTGCCCAGAGAAGCTGTGGGTGGCCCATCCCTGGAAGCATTCAAGGCCAGGCTCTATGAGCCTTAGAGCAACCTGGTCTAGTGGAAGTGGGGRTGAACTRGATGGGTCCCTTCCAATCCAAACCATTTTATGGTTCTRTGAATGTGGTTAAAACTTTTAACATTTCACATTTCCTCCTACCTAAATGGTAATAAAAATTAAAATGTTAAAAACAAACAAAAAAAAACTTTGTACATTTCTACCAAAAGGGAATGACATTAGGAAAGCAAAATAGGTACTTGTAATCTCACAATTTAAGTAATTTAATCTTTCCTACTTCTACTAATCCTGTTTGCATGATGAAAATCTTTCCACATGGCATCAAGAGCAGGATGTGGGMACTGGGTTTTTGGAGGTGCAGGGAAAGGAGCAGGTAAGGAGTCAGGTGCCGCAGGGTGACTTCAGCCAGTAATAGATTCTTTTTGGGGACACAAACTACAGTGAAGGCAAATACCAGCACTGAAAACCAGGCTACCATTACCCAGGGAATGCTCTCTGGGGGGAGCTGGACTAGCTGCCCCCAGAACATCTTGCAATGGCACTGACTCAGCAGGGAGCTAAAGAAATTGCAGGGAGGACAGGCACACCAAGGATAACTGAAGCAGTTTTGGCACTGAGAGGGTGCTTGTCTGGGAGAGAAGGGAGAACCCTTGTTTTAAGGACCTGCACCCCTTTCAGGGACRAGGTGACCACTTCTATTGAAGGGACAGGGATGGCGAGAGTACTGGAGTCCCACAGCCTGGGGGATCCCACCAAGCCCTGTTACCCCAAAAGGGAGGTTATAACAGCCCTGGGGCTCCTGCAAAGCTCAGGAGCCCACTCTGTCTCAAAGAAGGGCCTCATGATTGTGGGGATCCCCGACAGAAGGAGGAGGTTTCACAGACCTGAGGGTCCTGATAACCCCTCCCAAGAAATGCGTCATTACCCTCWTTGTCCCATGGAGAGAGAGTGTCACCACACCCAGGCTGTCAGGCAGTGGGGGTGTGTCATTGTCCTGGAGGTCCCATCAACCCCAGCAACCC